CCAGCAACAATAGTTTCCTTCAAAAATAGATTCCCTTCGTGACAATAGATACCCAAGCATCAATAGATCCTCCAGCAGCCAGCAACAGAAGACCTCTCCCTCAGCAATAGATCCCTCTCAGCAACAACTGACCCCCAGCAACATAAGACTCCCCCCAGCAACAATAGATCCCCCATCAGCAACAATAGTTACCTTCAAAAATAGATTCCCCCAGTGACAATAGATCCCCCAGCAGCCAGCAACAGAAGACCTCTCCCTCAGCAGTAGATCCCTCTCAGCAACAAATGACCCCCAGCAACATAAGACTTCCCCACAGCAAGAATAGGCCCCCCACCAGGAACAATAGTTCCCCCCCGCAAAAGTAGATTCCCTCAGTGACAATAGATACCCCCAGCAGCCAGCATCAATAGATCCTCCAGCAGCCAGCAACAGAAGACCTCTCCCTCAGCAATAGATCCCTCCCAGCAACAACTGACCCCCAACAACATAAGACTCCCCCAGCAACAATAGATCCACCACCACCACAATAGTTATCTTCAAAAATAGATTCCCTCAGTGACAATAGATCCCCCAGAAGCCAGCAACAGAAATCCCCCAGCAGCCAGCAACAGAAGACCTCTCCCTCAGCAGTAGATCCCTCTCAGCAAAAACTGCTCCCCCAGCAACATAAGACTCCCCCAGCAACAATATATCCCCCATCAGCAACAATAGTTCCCTGTAAAAATAGATCCCCTCCAGTGACAATAGATCCCCAGCAGCCAGCATCAATAGACCCCCCAGCAGCAAGCAACAGAAGACCTCTCCCTCAGCAACAGATCCCTCTCAGCAACAACTATCCCCCAGCAACACTCCCCCACAGCAACAACAGATCCCCCACCAGCAACAATAGTTCCCTGCAAAAAATAGATCCCCTCCAGTGACAATAGATCCCCCTGTAGCCAGCAACAATAGACACTCCATCACACCCTAGCACCCCTTGCCATTTACATACATTCAGTGCTGGAGGTGCCAGAACTGTGAACGAAATTCCTACTGAAAAAAGCCCTGTGTGTAAGCCAAACTCAAGGGAGCCTTCAGTGGTCCAACAAAGTACAGCTCATCATCCATATGGGCCACAATCTGCATGTGCACTAACAAGAGAACATTTTTTGATGGAGGCCTGTGTGGTGCCCATAAGGGTTACAATACAAAGAATGCTGGATGGAGGAGTAAGGTAAGTTTGTGAGCTGGTGGCTTGCAGAGGGGTTGGGGGAGGGGAAATAATTTAAGGACAGTTCTACCAAAGGGGTTGGTTGTCCTTTAAAGTAAACCCCAATCACCTAAGGTGGCCTGAGGTCTAAAGAGCAATTACAAGAAATAGTCAGCGTGCTACCCACATACCATAAAACTTAGTTCTGAATGCAGAAGTGTTCACATTAAAAAGATAGAAAGGCACAAAGTATCCACGATGACATTTAGGGGCCACAGGGGACCCCTTATTCTGAGGGTGATAGCAAGGCAACGGACAGGAGCTCGGTATCGGTTACATTGCGATCACCTTAAGGGGTGACAGCATCCCTTAAAGGATAAGTGCACCTTTTAGACAAAAATAATAGATGCACATTTTTGGCAGGTAAAAAAATGTGCATTTTTTATTTTTGTTTACAGGAGACTGGAAAGCATTGCACCAGCGATCAGTAGATCTCTGATGCCATGCACATCTCCTGCAGACCTGTCAGAATATCTGCTTGGCCGTACAGGATCTACAGTGTGTATGGGATGTACGAGCAAGCAGATATTTTGACAGGAAGCTTCAATGAACTACCAATGAACTACATTGCGTTTGCGACCTGAATTTGGGGTGTTAACTTTTCACTGACGCCCACTGCAGATCGCAAGGGCACTGCAATTGGAATGCGGTGTGGGAAATCATATGGGAACTCAGGTTTCCCCGCACAGCAATCTAGTGTGAACAGGCCCCCTAAAGTGGTAATTCATTGAAAACTACAAGCCCCTAGCCACTAAGGCTGTCGGGACTTGCAGTTCCTTCATTCACGGAAGTCCATAAATGAATGCCGTGGCCGTGTGGGCGGAGCCCCGCACGGCCACGCTGGTTTCCAATTTGACAGATAGTACGGGGAGACTTCTCCCCGTACTGTCTACCAAGGGAGGGGGGGGGCGGCAGGCGGCTGCGGCTATGGGAACATGTTACATGTTCCACCCTAAAAACAGGTGGAACACGTAACATGTTTCCAAAGGTGGACTTATCCTTTAAGGCGATACCCTTGAGGGATGTTTCAGGAGCCACAAGGGACCCTCTTCTTGACAATGATGGGCCCCTTTCTCAAGGTGATATCAAGTCCACAGACATCTAGCTCCTATCTCTCAGCTTGCTATCAACTTGAGGAAGAGGTCCTCCATGACCATGAAACATTGATGGATGCTATGTGCCTTGTCCTTGACTGCAGTGCATTTTTTAGATGCACGGGCGGTGTGCTGGCTATTCCATGTAATTGAGCTAGAATACATTGGCATTGTACAGTTGCAAGAAAAAGTATGTGAACCCCTTGGGATTACGTGGAGTTTTGCATGAATTGGGCATAAAATGTGCTCTGAACGTCATCTAAGTCACAACAATAGAAGAACACAGTCTGCTGAACATAATACTACACAAACATTAGATGTTGCCATGGTTTAATTGCACATAACATGTAAACATTCACAGTGCAGGGAGGAAAAAGTATGTGAACTTTTGGACTTAATAACTGGTTGACCCTCCTTTGGCAGCAATAACCTCAACCAAACGTTTCCTGTAGTTGCAGATCAGACCTGCACAACGATCTGGAGTCATTTTGGACCACTCCTCTTCACAAAACTGTTTCAGTGTAGCAATATTCTTGGGATGTCTGGTGTGAATCGCTCTCTTAAGGTCATGCCACAGCATTTCAATCGGGTTGAGGTCAGGACTCTGACTGGGCCACTCCAGAAGGCGTATTCTGTGCTGTTGCAGCCATTGTTTTGTTGAATTACTTGTATGCTTTGGGTCATTGTCCTGTTGCATCACCCATCCTCCAAAACTCCACGTAATCCCAAGGGGTTCACATACTTTTTCTTGCAACTGTAAGTCAAGCATCCCAGCATAGGACATTGGGTATGTTGCTGGATGGCTTGGACAGTTTTCTAGGTTCAAGGAGCCAACACCTCCAGCCATCCAATGATCCTCTCAGTCACGGCGCTGTGATAAAAAGCTGAGCACAAAAGGGTAAACCCAGCAAGACCCAGACAGAGCACCTATTGGCTGACATGTAGGTATTTCTGTAGATATGGCTCTGTAAAACAGGGGCAGGCTCAGTAAATACCATATTTTTCGTTCCATAAAACGCACTTTTTTCCCCCCAAAAAAGGGGGGAAAATGTCAGTGCGTCTTATGGAGCGAATATAAAGCGGCCGATCCGGTATTTTTGCCGCCACCATGTCAGAATACCGGGCCGGCCGCTCAGCTCTTCTTCTCCTGCAGGGCCTTACCTGTTCCTCGCTCCAGCGCTGCACAGTCTTCCCGCACTGGCTTCTGTGACAGCCGGGTGCCCACTGCGCATGTGCTGCGCTTTGTGAATGATCCGGTGTCTTCTGGGACACATGACAGGTCCCAGAAGGCGCCGGGCCATTCACAAAGCACAGCGCTTCTCGCGCATGCGCGCAGTGGGCACCCGGCTGTCACAGAAGCCGGTCCGGGAAGAAGAGGGAAGGACAACTCCACGGAAGTGGGAGCGGGTACCTGTCAAATTCAGGTACCCGCTCCCCCTCCCTCCCCAAAGGTCAGCAGTCTCTGGTCATTCCCTGCACTCTCCGCAGTCTCTGGTCATCCCCTGCACTGTCTGCAGTCTCTGGTCATCCCCTGCACTATCTGCAGTCTCTGGTCATTCCCTGCACTGTCTGCAGTCTCTGGTCATTCCCTGCACTGTGTCCGCAGTCTCTGGTCATTCCCTGCACTGTGTCCGCAGTCTCTGGTCATTCCCTGCACTGTGTCCGCAGTCTCTGGTCATTCCCTGCACTGTGTCCGCAGTCTCTGGTCATCTCCTGCACTGTGTCTGCAGTCTCTGGTCATCTCCTGTACTGTGTCCGCAGTCTCTGGTCATCTCCTGTACTATGTCCGCAGTCTCTGGTCATCTCCTGTACTGTGTCCGCAGTCTCTGGTCATCTCCTGCACTGTGTCCGCAGTCTCTGGTCATCTCCTGCACTGTGTCCGCAGTCTCTGGTCATCTCCTGCACTGTGTCCGCAGTCTCTGGTCATCTCCTGTACTACGTCCGCAGTCTCTGGTCATCTCCTGTACTGTGTCCGCAGTCTCTGGTCATCTCCTGTACTGTGTCCGCAGTCTCTGGTCATCTCCTGTATTGTGTCCGCAGTCTCTGGTCATCCCCTGTACTGTGTCTGCAGTCTCTGGTCATCCCCTGTACTGTGTCTGCAGTCCATTGGTTCAGAATATTTTTTTTTCTTGTTTTTCGCCTCTAAACCCTAGGTGCGTCTTATGGAGCGAAAAATACGGTAATTAACTTTAGGTCCACTTTAGGGGGCCTGTTCACACTAGATTGCTGTGCGGGGAAACCTGAGTTCCCATGTGGTTTCCCACACCGCATTCCAATTGCAGTGCCCTTGCGATCTGCAGTGGGCGTCAGTGAAAAGTTAACAACATCCCAAATTTGGGATGCACATTTGCGCATCTGCCTGCACCGAATTGCATGGTACAAAAGTACCATGCGATCCGGTTGCAGTACATTTAAAAAAAGTAGTAAGGTGCGATCTACATGCTCTAATTGGACAGGCTGCAGGAAATTGAACATGGATTGACCTAGATGTTGGGAAAGTCAAGTCTCTACTGACATAGTTTCAGAGAGGGGCACAAGGAAAAGGTTTTCTATGTATTAAAGGTAATGACAGGCATCCATGCTTTGGTGTGACTAGTTTTAACAGTTTAAAATGGCTAAACAATTACTTGAATCGCAAACTCTGATTGGTTATTACCTGTCACTTCAATACTTGTTCCTGTAATATATCTACTGTCATTCGAAGCCAGGAACGCACAGACATCTGCGATATCTAGAAAAGCAGTGGACAACTTTAACACTGTATTATAAGCAGTGACAGGAACAGCTGAATTCAGAGAAATGGGGGCATTTTCATCACAACCCCATTATTCCTCATGGGAGTCAACTCCACATGCAGTGAACAAACCCCAGAGCACATGATGTAAACTGACACGTGACATGCCTGTAAACATGAACCCGTCAGTCCTAAAGCCCAATTGTACCATCTTTAAAATGGACCTGAACATACATTTAGAATTGCTAATCATGCTTAAGCTGCATGCTGAAAAATGTACCATACCTCCTTAAAAAATATCAGGGCACTTCCTGGTATATGAGTGTGCCTAGGCACTCCTGTGCCTACAGCCTCATAGCTGTATGTCTGCACTGCAAGATCTCAGGCACTTCTGCCTCTGACAGCTAGTCTCAGGAGATCTGGTGAAGCCACTCCTGTGCTGCTCACTGTTCTCCTTGCTGGAGGCTCAATATGGAGAAACAAAGCCCTGCTCCAACCAGGATGTTCGTCTCCATACTGAAGTATGGGGAAGGGGGGGGGGAATTTATTAACACTGAAGAGTTCAAAAACTGGTGTAGCTTTGTAGAAACCAATCAGCTTCCAGGTTTTATTGCCAAAGTTTAAATGTTAAGTGAGAAAGCTAAAAGTTATTATTATTAGACAGTATTTATATAGCGCCAAAAAGTTTGCTCAGCACTGTACATTATAGTGGGAGACAATACATGAGACAGTACAGTAACAATACAATACACGAGGGGTTCGAGGGCCCTGATCCTTGGAGCTTACAATCTAGGAGGGAGGGGATAGTGGTACAGGAGGAATTGGCTGTGGGGGATGGAGTGGTAGGAGGAGTGGAGGAGATCGGCTGTTAGGTGAGGGCGGGGTAGGCTTCCCTGAAGAGATGGGTTTTCAGGGAGCGCCTAAAGGTGAGGAGGGTAGGTGACAGTCTGATGGATTGGGGTAGTGAGTTCCAAAGGATGGGGGAAGACCTGGAGAAGTCCTGGAGTCGGGCATGGGAGGAGGAGACCAGGGAGTTAGAAGCTGATTGACTATCACACACCAGATTCTGAGTGCACCAGTTTTAGTAAATCTTCCCGTGTGAAACAAGACAAAATAAGTCAATAATGGGGAAAAGTTCAGCTGCAGAGTGACCACAGGTAATAGCAAAAAGAGTAGTAGTTGCAGAATGCAGACTGCCAAAGTAGGTAATAAACACCCAAGCAATGTAGCTCATATGTAAAATCACATATTTTTATTGATCCCATGTTGGGAAAAAAAGAATACTATCCGTGGATGGTGACACATACAATCACTGAACACATATTTTGAAGGGACATTTGATTTTTTAAAATTTTTGGTATTTTTGATTCATCTTTGGGACTTTATTATACTCACAGATTGGGAGGAAAGGTTCATTATTATCACTGAGCATATTATTTATATAATGCTTCAGTACTGGTGCTCCAGAATAGTGGGGTAAGAATACGCACTCACCAGATGCGTAATGATAATACGCATTAAATCAATCAGTGGAGGTCCCCTTTAGGAATCGGATATGAGCCAGGCCAAGGATAATCCTCCCTCTGGACAGTGGTGGTGCATTAGAAACTCCCGGGTGGTAAAGGATCCAGTCAGCCAGAGGTCCCCTTTAAGGGATGGGTGGGTGTAGAAGCCTGTGAGACAGGAACTCCCTCCTCTGGATACTGCGGTGGATCGGGTGGGCTCTATAAATCAATTGCTCCACATAGGGAGAGATAAAAAGTGCCAACATGCCAACATTAGCATCCCCTATGAAGACGTGCGTGCGCACAAAATGCGTATGGAGGAGCCAATACGCCGTGACGTCACGCAGCCATGTGGAGGTCCGGCGGCCATCTTGCTTATGGACGATCAGTCCATTTTTAAACACTGTGTCACTTTATATTGGTTCTATATGGAATTTGCAAATTCTGGAATAAATTCTTTTTATATTACCTACTACACTATGGGCACTTTTTATGTCTCCCTATGTGGAGCAATTGATTTATAGAGCCCACCTGATCCACCGCAGTATCCAGAGGAGGGGGTTCTTGTTTCACAGGCTTCTACACCCACCCATCCCTTAAAGGGGACGTCTGGCTGACTGGATCCTTTACCACCCAGTTTCTGATGCACCACCACTGTCCAGAGGGAAGATTACCCTTGGCCTGGCTCATATCCGATTTCTAAAGGGGACCTCCACTGATTGATTTAATGCGTATTATCATTACGCATCTGGTGAGTGCGTATTCTTACCCCACTATTCTGGAGCACCAGTACTGAAGCATTGCTGCTATTCACCATATACTTGCACAGATTGTCACTTATGGACTAATACAGTTTAGCCGGCATTCATTTAATATATTTATTATTTACTTTTTATTTTATGTGGACTATTTCTAATACATATATATATAATTTTAAGTGCTGCACTTTCTTATTTGACTATTATTGAGGTTGTATTATTGGTTACCTTTTAGTGTTACAGCTGCTACTTACAGAGCTCTCACTTTCTCTTTACTTTACTACTACTGTTTTAGCACTGCACTTTTTGCACTTTATTAAAAATGAGCTGAAACTGAAAAATGAAAGCAAACGAGGAAAAATTGATATAAAAAGAAACTTAGGATGAAGGTTTGTCATTTACCTTCTGGCTGACCAAGTCTTCCCAATGGAATCAGATCAGCGAACTGCGGGCAAAGATCCAAAACAAAGTCAGAAACCAGAGAAAAATACAAACAGATACAGATAAATTTCCCATCATCATCTCACTTTGTCCAGGACTTTCTGTGGGACTTTGTCAGTCATCGGTGTGGCAATAAATCCAGGTAATACAGTGTTACATCGGATATCAAACCTGGTGAGGTGACAACAGAAAAGAAGATAAGACAGGAAATACGAACAGTGCAATAATCCACAGCAACCAATCAAACATTAAGAATTCAGAATTGTAGGATCAGAAAGAAAAATTGCCATGCATAGTCAAGCCCAAATTTACTTTAACCACTTCAGCTCCAGACAATTTACTTCCCTTCCTGACCAGATCATTTTTATGATACGATGCTGTGGTATTTTAACTGGCAATTGTGCGGTCATGCAACGCTGCACCCAAATTAATTGAAATATGTGTTTTTTTACCCCCTACAAATAGAACTTTCTTTTGGTTTTATTTGATCACCTCTGTGGTTTTTACAATTGTGTTAGTCCTCATGCACACGGGATGTTTTAATAACGCTGGTAACATTAGCTGTGTAAAGTCACGTTAAAAACTTGAGTTTTTTAGCTTTTTTTTTTTTTTTTTTAGTGTTTTTGCATTAGCATTTAGCTGCGTTTTCTCGCATTTTTTAAAAAGTTTTTTGGTAAAAAAAAAAGTCCAAAACACCGGTTTGAAGCATTTTACCTCATTTTGCCACGTTTTTCAGTCTCAGAGCGCTTTTACAGATAAAAAACTCCTCTAGAAACTCACTAGTTCTGGGGTTTTTTTCCAGCCAAAAATCATTGATTCCAGTCTATGTGTGTATGGACACATAGGATAACATGCCGGGGATGGACACATAGGATAACACGCCGGGGATGGACACATAGGATAACACGCCGGGGATGGACACATAGATAACATGCCGGGGATGGACACATAGGATAACATGCCGGGGATGGACACATAGGAGAACATGCCGAGGATGGACACATAGGAGAACATGCCGGGGATGGACACATAGGATGACATGCCGGGGATGGACACATAGGATGACATGCCGGGGATGGACACATAGGATAACATGCCGGGGATGGACACATAGGATAACACGCCGGGGATGGACACATAGGATAACACGCCGGGGATGGACACATAGGATGATATGCCGGGGATGGACACATAGGATGACATGCCGGGGATGGACACATAGGATAATATGCCGGGGATGGACACACAGGATAACATGCCGAGGATGGACACATAGGAGAACATGCCGGGGATGGACACATAGGATGACATGCCGGGGATGGACACATAGGATGACAAGCCGGGGATGGACACATAGGATGACAAGCCGGGGATGGACACATAGGAGAACATGCCGGGGATGGACACATAGGATGACATGCCGGGGATGGACACATAGGATAACATGCCGGGGATGGACACATAGGATAACACGCCGGGGATGGACACATAGGATAACATGCCGGGGATGGACACATAGGATAACATGCCGGGGATGGACACATAGGAGAACATGCCGAGGATGGACACATAGGAGAACATGCCGGGGATGGACACATAGGATGACATGCCGGGGATGGACACATAGGATGACATGCCGGGGATGGACACATAGGATAACATGCCGGGGATGGACACATAGGATAACACGCCGGGGATGGACACATAGGATAACACGCCGGGGATGGACACATAGGATGATATGCCGGGGATGGACACATAGGATGACATGCCGGGGATGGACACATAGGATAATATGCCGGGGATGGACACACAGGATAACATGCCGAGGATGGACACATAGGAGAACATGCCGGGGATGGACACATAGGATGACATGCCGGGGATGGACACATAGGATGACAAGCCGGGGATGGACACATAGGATGACAAGCCGGGGATGGACACATAGGAGAACATGCCGGGGATGGACACATAGGATGACATGCCGGGGATGGACACATAGGATGACAAGCCGGGGATGGACACATAGGATGACAAGCCGGGGATGGACACATAGGATAACACGCCGGGGATGGACACATAGGATAACATGCCGGGGATGGACACATAGGATAACATGCCGGGGATGGACACATAGGATGACATGCCGGGGATGGACACATAGGATAACATGCTGGGGGGTTTACTGGCTGTAGAAAAAAACGCCAAAAGCCAAAAAACAGCCGCTGTAACAACATCCCTTGTGCATGAGGACTTATAAACGAAAAAAAGACCGACCATTTTGAAAAAAAAAAAAAAACAATATTTTTAATTTCTACTATAAAACGTATCCACTAAAAAAAAATTTTTTTAATCAAATTTCTTCATAAATTTAGGCAAAAATGTATTCTGCCACATATTTTTGGTAACAAAAAATCCCAATAAGCGTATACTGATTTGTGCAAAACTTATAGTGTCTACAAACTATGGTATATATACAGAATTTTTTTTTAAACTAGTAATGGCGGCGATCAGTGACTTATAGCGGGACTGTGATACTGCAGTGGACATTTTTACACTAACTGACACTTTGTGGGAACCAGCGACACTAATACAGCGATCAGTGCTAAAAATATATATTAGTGTTTACTGCACTGACACTGGTTGGGAAGGGGTTAAAATCTAGGGTGATCAAAGGGTTAAATGTGTGCCTAGCTATGTGCTCGTGTAACACTAGATGGCGCTGGCACAAGAGGAAGTGATGGATCATGTTCCCAGCTCTGCAGGGACACAAGATCAATCCCTAGGCGATCGGAAATTGTCCTACCCCCCTCCCTCCCTGAAGTCTTGTGGGACACATGACAGGTCCCAGAAGAGGACGGGGCCATTCAGAAAGCGCTAGTCGCGCATGCGCAGTGGGCACCCGGCTGTGAAGCCGCAAGCTGTCACAGCCGGGTGCCCACACTGAAGATGCCGGCGCCTAGAATTCAGGACGGCCGCTGAAACGGGCTGCAGCGGGGGCAACGCGGGACCGAGGGACAGGTGAGTGGTTGTTTTTTTAAAAGTCAGCAACTACAGTTTTTGTAGCTGCTGACTTTTATTTTTTTACAGAGTGAGAGGAACTCCGCTTTAAAGTTCTTGTAGGCCTTTGAGATGGGAAGGAACATTGCATTGTACACATTGCTTAACAGATAAAAAGAGTTTTCTCACTTAGCCAGTTCTTTGGCGGCAGTCCTGGTGAAACCTTCTACTCCGGCCTTGGATGCAGCATAGTTGGCCTGACCAAGATTGCCGACCTGTGAGAGACCAAAATAATTGTTTGATATGTTATGATAACGAATGACTTTCCCACCATGATGATATGCGGCCATTGCTAGATGTAGACAAGAAGTGGCTGCAAAGAGACTGCATGAGAAAGATGATAAACAACAAAGGAAGGAAAAATCCAAAAACATTCAAAAAATGACATTTGTTTATGATACACATGTCCACTGATAATGGACTAGTCATGAGATAGGCTGGGGCGGGTCCAAGACAACCTGGGCTCAGAAGAAGTGGGTAAATGATGCTGGCCATCAGACTGAGGACATCTTGTGGCAGAGGAAAAGTAATGCGGAGGAAATCTCTGGATTGAAGCTGAACATTGCAGCAAAAGCTGGTTTTGCTATTTTATCTTTGAATCAGATATTCATTTTTATTCTGCTGTTTTTGGCTGGGGTTCCGCTTTACATCGGTGATGAGGCCGCGATAGGCCATACCGCTGGTTTTTAAATGGACTCTTTAATATTATTCATTAGAGTTTACATCTGCTTAATCAAGGAATGGCCTCACCAGAGTTATAACAACCAAATTTGTTTTCTCTAGGGATGCACCGATATCCTTTTTTACATTTTTTTATGGGGTAAGAGTACCGATACGTTCAGCCAAGTACTTGCTGACACCGATTACTGATCCTTTGTGGTGTGATTTGCATCAGAACAAAATGTATGGATGCAAATAGCACCTCAAAGAATAGCATGCGATTTCAACAGGAATGTGATTCCTGTCCAAATCGCATGTGGTTTCCCCACTGCTCCTGTGTGAACGCAGGCTTGTCACAGCCTGAGTTCACATTTCCCTCAGCGGAGAGTGGGCATGCGGGGATGTATACTATGGTGGCAGATGCTCCATATTCTCAGTGGTAGGAGAGGAGAGAAAGTGGCAGGGATTTGAAATCTCCAATGCTTTCTCTCCTCTCCTTGCAGGGATGACTGTTCAGGCTAGAGGGCTTTTGATCGGTCAGCACTGTCACATGGATGGTGCTGACCAATCAGAAGCCGTCTAGCCCAGCAATGGGCAAACTACGGCCCGGCGGACCTTTTAATCCGGCCCGCGGAGCGTGATACTGTCAGGATGGTTGTCAGGATGTGTGTAGGCGGGGCAGCGTGACGAACATGAGGGGAGCTAGGCTCCTCTCACAGTCCGCCCTGAAGACCGGAACGGCGCGGGAACACGGCGAGAGGAACGCGCAGAGCAAAGGTAAGTAAATTGACACAGAGGGGACTTGGGGACTTAATATGGGGGATGAATTAATATGGGGAATGAATTACTATAGGGGGGATGAAATACTATGGGGGATGAATTACTATATGGGGGCATGAATTACTATATGGGGGCATGGATTACTATAGGGGGGATGAATTACTATATGGGGGATGAATTACTATGGGGGATGAATTACTATGCTTACTATGGGGGAATATTACTATATACTTACTATGGATGACACATACTGTCAGGGCTCCGGGTATGACAAGAGGTGTGTGACTGACGCAGGGAAACGCAGACTTCAGATATGTTATAAACGATGTAATTTATTAACACTAACAATACAAACATAAACGCAGTGCAATACTAAAACATAACACAGTGCAAACAAACCAAACCAACCACCCTAAGATAACAGTACATACAATGCAAGCGTCGTCAGGCAGGCCGGGTCAATATCAATCGGGCAGGTAGGTACAGGGGGAGCAAGCGGAGAATGGTCAGGGTCACAAGCCAGGTTCAGCAGGTAGCGGGCAGCGTGGTAGAGGGTCAGGCAGAGGAGAATGGTCAGACAAGCCAGGGATCAGGAGCAGGAGAATGGTCAGACAAGCCAGGGATCAGAGCAGGAGAATGGTCAGACAAGCCAGGGATCAGAGCAGGGTCAGCAGAGAATCAGACAGGAACAGGAAACAGGGCCCAGGAGAAACACAACACCAAGGCAGAGTCTGCAGGTCTGAATGTCCCTTAAATACACCAGTATAATTAGTTCCAGGTGTTTGACTGGCTGCAAGGTTGAGTCTCTGATTGCTGGGAGCACCCGCTGGCCAGCCCTGGTACTGCAGCTCATAAGGCAGGCGAGTCCCACTATTGCTGGCCAGTCCATTCCTGACAGTACCCCCCCCCCTCAAGGAGCGGCCTCAGGACGCTCCAAACAGTCCTAGCTGGGCAAAATGTTCCACCGCCCGGGTCTGGTAACTGGCGGGATATCAAAGACTGGCACACCGGGCAGGACTCCGGGCAGCGGCACACCGGGCAGAGGCACATCGGGCAGGACTCCGGGCAGAGGCACATCGGGCTGGACTCCGGGCAGAGGCACATCGGGCTGGACTCCGGGCAGAGGCACATCAGATTACCAGGCGAAGCAGCAGGCAGCGGGCCACCGGGCGGAGCAACAGGCACCGGGCCCCCCGGCGGGGCGACAGGCACCGGGCCCCCCGGCGGGGCGACAGGCACCGGGCCCCCCGGCGGGGCGACAGGCACCGGGCCCCCAGGCGGGGCGACAGCATCGGGCCCCCCAGGCGGGGCGACAGGCCTCGGGCCCCCAGGCGGAGCGGCGGGCGCCGGACCCCCAGGCGGAGCGACTGGTCTCGGGCCCCCAGGCGGAGCGGCGGGCACCGAGTCACCAGGCACGACAGTGGGCACCGAGTCACCAGGCACGACAGTGGGCTCCGAGCCAACTGGCGGAACAGCGGGCACCGAGTCGTCTGGCAAGACTGCGGGCACCGAGTCGTCTGGCAAGACTGCGGGCACCGAGTCGTCTGGCAAGACTGCGGGCACCGAGTCGTCTGGCAAGACTGCGGGCACCGAGTCGTCTGGCAAGACTGCGGGCACCGAGTCGTCTGGCAAGACTGCGGGCACCGAGTCGTCTGGCAAGACTGCGGGCACCGAGTCGTCTGGCAAGACTGCGGGCACCGAGTCGTCTGGCAAGACTGCGGGCACCGAGTCGTCTGGCAAGACTGCGGGCACCGGGTTATCAGGTACCAGATTGTCTGGCTCGACAGCGGGCATCGGGTCACCAGGTATGACAGCGGGCACTGGGTCACCAGGCATCAGGTCATTTGGCTTGCCAGCGGGCACCGCGTCATCTGGCAAGGCAGTGGGCACCGAGTCACCAGGCACGACAGCGGGCTCTGAGTCAACTGGCATGACAGCGGGCACTGGGTCATCAGGTACCGGATTGTCTGGCTCGACAGCGGGCATCGGGTCACCAGGCCTAATAGGATCGTCAGGCTGGATCAGTTCATCATGCTGGGTAGAGGAGGCATCAGGCATCAGGCTGAGTAGAGGCTTCAGGCTGAGTAGAGGCTTCAGGCTGAGTAGAGGCTTCAGGCTGAACCACGGAAGGCAGGTTCACCGGTTTGGATACTGGCAGGATGGTATTGGTTGGAAAGAATTTTTGCTTTTTTCTGGTTTTAACTACTGGAGCACTGCAAGTAAACGCAGGTCTGCAAACGAATGGAGCAGCTGGAGACAGAGAAGAGCTGGAGGATGGAACAGGAGAGGGAGCAGTTGCTACAGAGGGCTTTTTTACAGGGTTAAAGGCAGGATAGGTGCAGCGAGTGGGAGCAGGGGACTGACATGCGGTAGATAGCCAAGTATACTGGGCTGTAACTGGAGGAGCTGTTGGGAATACAGGAGTAGAGTTTTGAGGAAATAGATTAGAAGCAGGACTGGGTCTTTGTAAGCTGACTGAGGCTGGGTGCAACAAGTCTGTCCATGTCTGCAGTATGGGTTGAACAAAGCTGAGCTTACACAAAGCCTGTCTGACCAAAGACTGCACTGCGTTTATACAATCTCTTAGTGTCTGTGGTGAACATGTGGAATAACGCTCCAGAAAGTAACCCACATCATCCTCTAATAACCACACCAGGGACTCTACCTGGTCTGCACTAAATGGTGGCAAAAATTCATCCCTGCATTCGGGGGTACCAGATGAAACCAACTCAGCACAAACCTCAATCAATGGCTGCACCTCAGAGAACTCTGTGCCCTGATCTACTAGAACATGAGCGAGCCGTATACATTCTAGCAGTTCATCCCGGGGATACTCCTTCAGAGTTTGATAAGCATACTCCCTGTCATCAAACACTAGCAGATATAAATACACAACCTCATCAAGATCCATCCTTCCCATCAACAAGCCAAGATGGCTTCCCTGTGCAGCCACTTCTGGTCAGGATTGGCCTTGGTGTAATGTCAGGGCTCCCAGGTATGACAAGAGGTGTGTGACTGATGCAGGGAAACTCAGACTTCAAATATGTTATAAACAATGTAATTTATTAACACTAACAATACAAACATAAACGCAGTGCAATACTAAAACATAATACAGTGCAAACAAACCAAACCAACCACCCACAGATAACAGTACATACAATGCAAGCGTCGTCAGGCAGGCCGGGTCAATATCAATCGGGCAGGTAGGTACAGGGGGAGCAAGCGGAGAATGGTCGGGGTCACAGGCCAGGTTCAGCAGGTAGCGGGCAGCGTGGTACAGAGGGTCAGGCAGAGGAGAATGGTCAGACAAGCCAGGGATCAGGAGCAGGAGAACGGTCAGACAAAGCCAGGGATCAGAGCAGGAGAATGGTCAGACAAGCCAGGGATCAGAGCAGGGTCAGCAGAGAATCAGACAGGAACAGGAAACAGGGCCCAGGAGAAACACAACACCAAGGCAGAGTCTGCAGGTCTGAATGTCCCTTAAATACACCAGTATAATTAGTTCCAGGTGTTTGACTGGCTGCAAGGTTGAGTCTCTGATTGCTGGGAGCACCCGCTGGCCAGCCCTGGTACTGCAGCTCATAAGGCAGGCAAGTCCCACTATTGCTGGCCAGTGCATTCCTGACACATACACATCATTCATCTATTCTTGGTCCGGCCCCGGGTCCAATATATGAACCCATTGCGGCCCTCAAGTCAAAAAGTTTGCCCACCCCTAGTCTAGCCCATACTGTCATCCCTGCAAGGAGAGGAGAAAAAGCTGCTTCACAGGTCTGGGGATTTGAAATCCCTAATGCTTTCTCTGCTCTCCTTGCAGGGATGACAGTTCGGGCTAGAAGGCTTTTGATCGGTCAGCACTGTCACATGGATGGTGCTGACCAATCAGATGCTGTCTAGCCCGTACTGTCATCCCTGCAAGAAGAGGAGAGAAAGGTGCTTCACAGGTCTGGGGATTTGAAATCCCTGCCGCTTTCTCTCCTCTCCTTGCAGGGATGACAGTACGGGCTAGACAGCATCTGATTGGTCAGCATCATCCATGTGACAGTGCTGACCAATCAAAAGCCCTTTAGCCCGAACTGTCATCCCTGCAAGGAAAGGAGAGAAAGCGGCAAGATTTCAAATCCCTACCACTTTCTCTCCTTTCCTACTGCTGAGAATATGGAGCATCTGCTACCATAGTATACATCTCCATACGCCCACTCTCTCTGCTCAGCATGGGGAAACCACATGCGATTTGGACAGGAATCACATTCCTGTTAAAATCGCATGCTAATCTTTTCGGTGCAATGTGTACTGATGCAAATTGCATCGTAAAGTATCTGTTTTTGCTATCGGGAGTATTTTCATGAGTACTTGTGAAAATACTTGGTATTGGTGCATCGCTAGTTTTTCTCCTATAACTTTCCATCAGTGGAAAATAACATGATACTTCGAGGGCTCACCTTTCCCACAATACTGCCAATGTTGACGATGGAACCTCCATTTTGCCCTGTGGCTATGATAGCTCGGGCCACGGCTTGTGTAATCAGAAATGTACCCTACAGGAAACAGAGAATTAACTCTTTACATTACTATTAACAAACTTTCTACTGCAAAAAACATGAAATGATCGTGGTGCCCTACTGAGTTCCCTACAAACTGTTGATGTTAGGTTACCCTAAAGCGTTTGTAAACCCAAAACCTAAATTTTATACATTGCAGCTTGCCAGTCCTTAGATGTGATGGCTGCATTCATTTTCTCTTTAAAGTGGTTGTAAATCCTTATATATATCCAGTGAAGTGACTGGCCTCAGGTGATGCCCAGAGATTACACAAATCCTTCTATGTAAGTTGTACAAGTTTATCTGCAGTCTTCTTTTCCAGAATTTATAAAGCTTGTCTTAGCTATCAGAAAAAAAGGGGACAGGCAGCTGGCGTTACACACTGCAGAACAGTGAGGAGAGCTCCTGATTGGAGAAAAGGGACCCCCCCCCCCCCCCCCCACACACACAACCACTTTAAGGCTCTGTACAAACAGGTCCCTCCCCCATCAGTGATACTCAGAGATCGCTGGGTGCCGGCGGGGAAATCACCGGCTGAGACCCGGTTATTGACAGCCGAGGCCGCGGATGGCGGCGCAGGTAGGGCGTGCGCACGCCCCTACCCAGAACTGCAAAATCACGTATATATACGTGATTCTGCACACACCCGTGCTGCCCTGTAGCAGTATTTCTGCTATAGGGTGGCGCGGAAGAGGTTAATAAACTTAAATTTGTAAAAATAAAAAAAAATAGAATATAAAAAATAATAGAAAAGAATAGAATGAATATAACTGACTTCTGAAATGCAAGTAGAATAAATTTGATTCTCAGTAGAATAGATTAGAAGAGAATAGAAAAGAATAGAAAATGAAGGAATAGAATAGAATAGAAAAAAAAAAACAATAGAACAAAATAGAAGGAATATAACCATCTTATACAATTCCAAAAGAATACATTCTAATTCAATACTTTTAAATTCAATCGAATGGAGTTCAATTCGACCAGATTCGGAAAAGTCAAATCGAATTTGAAAATGAATAAATGAAACCAGTCGAGTTTGGGGATGGCCCCTTCCTGTTCCAACATGACTGCACACCAGTGCACAAAGCAAGGTCCATAAAGACATGGAGGAGCCAGTTTGGGGTGGAGGAACTGGACTGACCTGCACAGAGTCCTGACTTCAACCCCATAGAACACCTTTGGGATGAATTAGAGCGGAGACTGTGAGCCAGGCCTCTTCCCCGACATCAGTGCCTGACCTCACAGATGTGCTTCTGGAAGAATGGTCCAACCTTCCCATAGACACCCTCCTAAACCTTGTGGGCGGCCTTCCCAGAAGAGTTGAAGCTGTTATAGCTGCAAAGGGCGGGGCCAACTCAATATTGAACCCTACGGACTAAGACTGGGGGGCCATTAAAGTTCATGTGCGTGTAAAGGCCGGCTGACCAATACTTTTGGCAATATAGTGAATATATGAATGGTCAATCGGCGCATGAGGGGTTACTGTCTCCCAGTGGTTTACTTGTCACCTCCACAGACCAAATGCCAGGATATATGACCAAAGTAACTCTCACAGAAAGAAGATACAAGATGACCCCATAGTGCAAAACATATAGACTACTTTATGTTACAAAAAGCAAAGTGTGCACTTACAAAAAAAAAGCATCAGAGCATATCTCATTTAGTGTTGTTCCTATGGGCAAACTCTGCAATCGCGGAAGTCTGTCCACGTGGAGTGCATGATGATGTCGCTCTCGTAGGCCCCACCCTATGCATTTCGTCACAGATGACATCATCAGGGGGCCTGCCCCCCTGACGACACCATCTGTGACGAAACGTGTAGGGTGGGGCCTATGAGAGTGACATCATCACAAAAGCCTGGGAACTTGCTTTGGCTTTCGTAAAATTTTATTACAGCGTTCAGCCTCTGTAGACACCCTCTGCCTGACTGGTCCCAAAGGGATGTCCTTCCAAGACAACAGAACTCCCAGGGTTTGTGCTCAGTGTATAAACATACACGCTAGGCTGATACCACTGTGCATGTTTATGTCACTATCCCTCAAAAAAAAAAATCATATGGCAGACAAATTATGAATGTCACCTTACAGTATATCTAAAGCATGGGGAGCCAGGTAAACTAAGTCGGATGTTTATTTCAGGTACTTGTATAATGCTGTCAATTTACGCAGTGCTTTACATATATATTGTACATTCACATCAGTCCCTAACCCTCAAGGGGCGTACAATCTAAGGTCCCTAACTTACATTCATATACTAGGGCCAATTTAGACAGGAGCCAATTAAACTTCCAGCATGTCTTTGGAGTGTGGGAGGAAACCCACGCAGGCACAGGGAGAACATGCAAACTCCAGGCAGGTGGTGCCGCGGTTGGGATTCAAACCAGCGACCTGAGTACTGCCAGACGGAAGTGCTAACCATTCAGCCACTGTGCTGCCCATGTTGAGAAATGCGTTTTGTCACATATAACATCTTACCTTAGTGCGCTTGTCAAATAAATGATTTTGTTGCAGTGGAATTAATATACATTTGGCACATAGTATAATGCCTGTCTTGTGACATCATCCTCTTGGCGCACTACTGCACACCACTATTGGGCCAGATATACAAATTCATTTTCTGCGCTGTCATTTGTTTGGCACTGATTGTGAGGGTTTTTGTGCAAAAACAAATCACACTTGATATCTTTTTTTTACAATTGTCACACCAGTCAAATCTTTCATTTCAAAAACCTTTCAATTGAGCTATTATTTGGTGCATCTACAAAAGCAGGATTCTGTACACCAAAAATACTCGTAGTTTGCCAGTGCCTGCAAGAAGGACTGTCTGCGTTGCTTCAAAGCCACCAAAGCTGCATTGGAAAATTAGACACGCCTCGAAAAACCACTAAGCAACTTATTCACTCCCTTGTTATATCTCGCCTTGACTATTGTAACTCCCTCCTCATTGGCCAACCTCATCGCAGGCTATCCCCTCTTCAGTCTATCATGAATGCTGCTGCCAGACTCATCCACCTTACTAACCGTTCTGTATCTGCCACCCCTCTCTGCCATCCTTCTCTGCCAATCCCTCCACTGGCCTCCACTCAGTGTCCTCCACCCCTCTTTGCCAATCCCTCCACTGGCCTCCATTCCGTGTCCTCCACCCCTCTCTGCCAATCCCTCCACTGGCCTCCATTCAGTGTCCTCCATCCCTCTCTGCCAATCCCTCCACTGGCCTCCATTCAGTGTCCTCCACCCCTCTCTGCCAATCCCTCTACTGGCCTCCATTCAGTGTCCTCCACCCCTCTCTGCCAATCCCTCCACTGGCCTCCACTCAGTGTCCTCCACCCCTCTCTGCCAATCCCTCCACTAACCTCCATTCAGTGTCCTCCACACCCCTCTCTGCCAATCCCTCCACTAGCCTCCACTCAGTGTCCTCCATCCCTCTCTGCCAATCCCTCCACTGGCCTCCACTCAGTGTCCTCCACCCCTCTCTGCCAATCCCTCCACTGGCCTTCACTCAGTGTCCTCCACCCCTCTCTGCCAATCCATCCACTGACTTCCCATTGCCCAACGGATACAATTCAAAACATTAATAATAACATATAAAGCCATTTATAACTCCGCCCCCAATTACATCACCAATCTGGTCTCCAAATATCACCCAAACCGTCCTCTCCGCTCCTCCCACGACCTCCTGCTCTCTAGCTCCCTTGTTTCCTCCTTCCATGCTTGTCTCCAGGACTTCTCCAGAGCCTCCCCCATCCTTTGGAACTCTCTACCCCAATCTATCCGACTATTGCCTACTCTGCCCATTTTTAAGCAATCTCTGGAAACCTCTCTCTTCAGGGAAGCCTATCCTGCCTTCAGCTAATAACAGAATCTTCTATTCCTCTTATCAGTTCGTCCTCCACAGTTATTATCTTTTATACCACTAGCCCCTCCCTCCTAGATTGTAAGCTCCCAGGATCAGGGCCCTCCTAACCCTCTTGTATTGAACTGTATTGTTGATGTATTGTCTCCCTTTATATTGTAAAGCGCTGAGCAAACTGTTGGCGCCATAAATCCTGTATAATAATAATAATACTTGAACATGATTTGGGCTCTCTGCACACAATTCTCATTGTCTGACACTTTGATCAATGAGGCCGCCAGCAGTGTAATGGAGCCTGTCAGATTACCTTGAGGTTGACGCTCAGCACGGAATCGAAGGCTTCCTCTGACAAGCGAAGCAGAAACTCGTCCCGGGTGATTCCGGCGCTGCTGACAGCAACACGAGGAGGGGCAGAGAAGCGAGACTGAGGAGACAAGACGGAGAGGTTATCTGGAGAATTGCCCGGCTCATCGCAATCACACGACGCGGCTCGCCGTCTACCTGTATCTGTTCCATTAGCGCACTGACGCTGCCGGCTTGGGAGACGTCGGCCGTGAATGCCGCATGCTCTTGTTCAGGGAGGTTGGATGATAATGTCTGTAGCGTGTCATTGGCAGAGTTGATGTTCACGTCAACCACAGCAACTGAAGCCCCCTCCCGGGAAAGTCTCTGACACACCGCTCGTCCAATGCCGCTGCCGCCACCTGTGATACAGGAGAGAACGGTGTCATGGTTGTGCGCATTAGGCACATGAACGCTGTAGGCGACATCCATTTTATTTGGGTCTCATCCATTTTATTTTAGAGGCATAGCCCAGGGATCTTACCCCCTCCCTCCCGCCCGCTATCTCTGTTTCAGTAATGTTTATTGAAGTTTTACATACAATACAAAAACAAAAATAGAAAAACAGTAGAAAAGCCTTCAGCCAACCAGACTATATCCGGTCTCCCAGGACCCTTCATTCACTATATCCGGTCTCCCAGGACCCTTCATTCACTATATCCGGTCTCCCAGGACCCTTCATTTACTATAGCCGGTCTCCCCAGACCCTGCATTCACTATATCCGGTCTCCCAAGACCCTGCATTCACTATATCCGGTCTCCCAGGACCCTTCATTCACTATATCCGGTCTCCCCGGACCCTTCATTCACTATATCCGGTCTCCCCGGACCCTGAATTCACTTTATCTGGTCTCCCCAGACCCTGCATTCACTATATCCAATCTCCCCATACCCTGCATTCACTATATCCGGTCTACCAGGACCCTTCATTCACTATATCTGGTCTCCCAGGACCTTTCATTCACTATATCTGGTCTCCCAGGACCCTTCATTCACTATATCTGCTCTCCCAGGACCCTTCATTCACTATATCTGCTCTCCCTGGACCCCGCATTCACTATATCTGCTCTCCCTAGACCCTGCATTCACTATAGCCGTTATCCTCGGACCCTGCATTCACTATATCTGGTCTCCCCAGACCCTGCATTCAATATTTCTGATCTCCCTGGACCCTGCATTCACCATATCCACTCTCCCTGGACCCTGCATTCACTATATCTGGTCTCCCCGAACCCCACATTCACTATATCCACTCTCCCCGGACCCTGCATTCACTATATCCGGTCTCCCCGGACCCTGCATTCACTATATCCGGTCTCCCCGGACCCCGCATTCACTATATCCACTCTCCCCAGACCCTGCATTCACTATATCTGGTCTCCCCGGACCCCGCATTCCCTATATCCGGTCTCCCCGGACCCTGCATTCACTATATCCACTCTCCCCGGACCCTGCATTCACTATATCCGGTCTCCCCGGACCCTGCATTCACTATATCTGGTCTCCCCGGACCCTGCATTCACTATATCTGGTCTCCCCGGACCCTGCATTCACTATATCTGGTCTCCCCGGACCCCGCATTCCCTATATCCGGTCTCCCCGGACCCCGCATTCCCTATATCCGGTCTCCCCGGACCCCACATTCACTATATCCACTCTCCCCGGACCCTGCATTCACTATATCTGGTCTCCCCGGACCCTGCATTCACTATATCCGGTCTCCACGGACCCCACATTCACTAGATCCACTCTCCCCGGACCCTGCATTCACTATATCCGCTCTCCCCGGACCCTGCATTCACTATATATCTTGTCTCCCCGGACCCTGCATTCACTATATCCAATCTCCCCGTGCCCTGCATTCACTATATCCAGTCTCCCCGGACCCTTCATTCACTATATCCGGTCTCCCACAGTACACAGAACATGGAAATGCAATTATTTTAGTAAATATAAACTGCGAAATACCTTTTCTCATCCGCAGTTAGAGCAGTCTTGTGGCTTCTATCAGTATCCACCCCAGCACTAGCTAAAGCTTGGAGGAGGAGTTTTCTTTCTGCTGTAGGAGGATACAAATCCCCTGACTTCTGTCTGAACAGTGCTGACTGGCCCTGTGCTGATCACGTGCACTCTCCCAAGAAAAAAAAAAAACCTCTCTAGCAATACACACTAAACTGAGCATGTGCACGCCTACGGTTCAGTCTGGAGATTAGTGCCGGTTGCTTGAAAAAGGGGAGGAACAGAGAAGAAAGTATCAAACAGCCTTTTTACACAAGGCAGAGGATTAACCCCTTAGGTTCCACAGTGAGTACAACAAGCATGCTTTACTGCATATACAGACTGATTGTACTGTTGTGGGTTTAGTAACACTATAAGTATATATTTGAATGGGGAATATCATACCGAACAAATCGAGATCATACATGGCTAAGCTATAGTATACAGAAGGTTAGATAGTAGTCAAATAGCTCCTGGGTAGAAGGCCCATCCAAAATACTCTGTGCTTGGTATCCCTGGACACAAAATATAATGCGAACAATAATCTACCAGTTTCCAGAATGTGACAGGTACCCACTCCCACTTCCGCCGCTATCGCCTAGGAAATCGGAAACGGAAGTTGTCCTCTCCCCCCTCCCCGTAGTCTTCTGGGACATGTGACAGGTCCTAGAAGACTACAGGGCCATTCACAAAGCGCAGCACTTCTCATGCATGTGCAGTGGGCACCCGGCTGTGAATTCGCAAGAAAATTTCTTCTGAGCCTTCTTCCAGATTAGCTTCCCAGAAAAATGAAGAGATTCATATGGATATTCTCATTGGTCAGCGTGGCCACGTGACTGCGTTGACCAATGAGAATCTGTTCTGAGGCTTTTTCTCCTGGATGGCTTTTAATGCGAAGGAAGAGATTCTCAATGGTCAGTTTGTCCATCTGACCGGGCTGACCAATGAGAATCTCTTCTGACCCTTCTTCCTATGGAATGGCTTTCAGAAGAAAGGAAAGATTCTGATTGATTAGCGCAGCCACATGACCGCACTGACCAACGAAAATTTCTTCTGAGCCTTCTTCCAGACTAGCTTCCCAGAAAAAGGAAGAGATTCATATGAATATTCTCATTGGTCAGCGTGGACACATGACCACGCGCCATTGTGAGCATGATGATGCTAGTACAGTGTACGGATCCTCTTCTGTAAAAGCAAACCTACCCTTGAGCCCAGGTTCATGGAATTCACAGCGTTTTCTGTGTGAATTCCGCACCACATCAGAATTGCCTCCCGTTCATGCGAACCACTGCGGGTGTGTATGTTAACAACATCCTGAAATCGGTCCACAAAATGCGGTGCGATGTGCAGAATTGGATCGCATTGGTGTGAATACCCATGTGATCCAATTCTAGTGCGGACCCAAAAAAGGGTCCTGCACCTCTTTGGTGCGGGTGCGGTGCGATTTAGAGCCATACATAATATATGTCTCCAATGGCACCGCACACAAATCGCATGTGATTTGCATAGGAATGCGGTGCGGATCCTGTGCAAATCACATCCGATGTACCGCACTGCACGAGTGTGATTCCAGGCCCAAAGTAGATGTAAACCCTAACACCTAAGACTTACTAAAGCACTGTGTATCCTAAACAGTTGACTTTTTTTTTACCAAAACTACATTCTTTTCACTTTTTTCATTCTTTGCTCCATCTCGGTGCTGCCAATCCTCTCTAGCCTCTTTGCAGCCACTTCCTGCTGCATGTACTACTGCTATGGTTGGATCGATTTCCACTGGTGGCTTATTAAAGGTTTCTTAACCCCTCGCCTACCGGGCACTTATACCCCCTTCCTGTCCTGGCCAATTTCCAGCTCTCAGTGCTGTTGCACTTTGAATGACAATTGGGCGGTCATGCAACATTGTACCCATATGAAATTTTTTTCATTTTTTTGTGACAGATAGAGCTTTATTTTGGTGTTATTTAATCACCACTGGGATTTTTATTTTTTCTTAAACCAAAAACCCGCTAAAAAAAAAGTTTTTTTTCTTAGTTTTTGTTGTAAAATGTTGTAAATAAGTGATTTTTTTTCCTTCACTGATGTGCGCTAATGAGGCTGCAGTGATGGGCACTGATAGGCTGCACTGATGGACCCTGATAGGTGGCACTGATGGGCACTGATGAGGAGGCACTGGTAGGTGGCACTGAAAGGCAGCACTGATATATGGCACTGATAGGCGGCACGGTTAGGTGGCACTGATAGGAGAAACTGATGGGCACTGATAGGCTGGCACTGATAGGCTGGCACTGATAGGCGGCACTGATTGGCATTGATAGGTGGCACTGACTGGCACTGATGGGTGACACTGAAAGGCAGCTCAGATAGGGACTGATATGTGGCATTGATGTGCATTGGTAGGCACTGATATGTGGCATTGATGTGGCACTGGCACGTGACACTGTTCAGCACTGGCAGCTGGCACTGATGGACACTGACAGGTGGCACTTCTGGGGCCACACTGATCATCAGTGCTCTGATGATCAGTGTACATGTCCCCTCTTTGGAATGCCGACTACAGGCTCTCCTCTCCTCTGTCAGAGTGACATCTCGTGAGGAGAGAAATGTCGATAACCGGCATTTCCCCTATTTACATGCGATCAGCTGTGATTGGACACAGCTGATCACATGACCGAGCCGACATCTTCGGCTCTTTCCGTAGATCGGTGATAAGCTCCCTGAGCTGCGCATGTGCGGTTAGAATGGGAGGACGTCATGTGACGTCCTCCCAGAACGAGAGAACCACCTTGCGTCCGTCGTTGGACTATATGGCGGGCGGGAGGTGGTTAAAGGTGCGCGATGTGCATTGTCATGGCCACTTATAATCTTCACCAAGGCAGCAGGTGAGGGGGGTGACAAGGCAAAAGAGCAATCTGGAGACATGGAAAGAGTGTTGTCACCCTGTAACAGGAAGTGCTTGAACAAGGACTTTCATGGCAGGATCACCAGGGTTATGACAAATAAAAAATATGAAGCATGCCTATCCCTCAACAACATCAAAGGGGTGCTTAGCTAGAAGCCAAGTTTATGGGAAACCTGTAAGAAAACAAAAAGAAGTGTAGGCAATCTCCTTCTGAAAATGCTAGTTGCCTGGCTTTTCATGCTGATCCAAAGGCTTTAAAGCTTTCTGGGTCATTGGCCAAGAACGAGCAGGCAGATCAGAGTTCTGACTTCACTAGATGCATGCTTGTTTGAGATTTGCAGCTGAGAAAGTAGAGCCAGGCAAAGCGCATTTTCAGAAAGAGGCCAGCAAAGACCTCCGCAGTTTTATAAGTAAAGATTTCTTTTAAAAAGGAGTTATAAAGTCTGCCCAAAACATGGAAAAGAAAGCAGGAGACCTGTTTTGGAGCCTCATCCCTGAACAGGCAGGATCCTAAATGCCACTACCACTTGGTACAGTGTTCATTCCTCTGCAGCTGCAACCTTTGACAGGGCTGGACACTGGACTCATCCCTCCCGGGGGCGCTGCAGCTGAACAGCCCTGTGTGCAAGGGCTTCTGACCAGGGGCGGACTGACCATTCGAGCACTCGGGCACTGCCTGAGGGCCCGGGGTCAGTAGGGGGCCCCATGAGATGCCCCTGGTACCTTTTTATAGGCTTTTTTCAGTGTGGGCAAGGACACAGGGGCCCCATGATTCCTTATTGCCTCGGGGGCCCCATGAGTTGTCAGTCCGCCCCTGCTTCTGAAAGAGGCATCAGATAGAAAGGCAGGAAGGGTTAAGAGTGCAGGAGAGAGGCAGGATCAGATACAGATAGATTGTACACAGTATAATTAGTAACAATGTATCACAGAGTAGCAATGAGAATGTCATTCAATGACCTGTCACCAGAGCCAATGTGGACTTCAGCCTGCTGGAGGCAGCCATGATACCCTGCCAATGACCTCCACCATAGAGGAGAGAGGATAGACCGTCTGACACCATAGAGGAGAGAGGATAGACCGTCTGACACCATAGAAAAGATAGACTAGACTGTCTGACACCATAGAGGAGAGAGGATAGACCGTCTGACACCATAGAAAGGAAAGAAATATAGATTGTCTTACAATGTGTCACAAGCTGGCTGCAGCTCTGAGATGAACAGGGTGCGATCATTATACAGCATTACAGACAGGGAAACATGTCCCCTCCTGCATTCATTCCTGCACAGCTCTCTTTAACCACTTGTGTACCAGGGCAATTTTTTCAATATTTGCACACAAAGTAAAATCTGCATTTTTGCCAGAAATTATTGTAAACCCCCTCCAAAATGTATATAATTTATGAACGTAGAGACCCTGGAGAATAAAATATGGGTAGTTTATTATATATATATATATATATATATATATACACATATATATACATACACACACACACATATATATATATACACACACACATACACACACACATATATACATACACACACACATATATACATACATACACACATATATACATACATACATACACACACACATATATACATACATACATACACACACATATATACACACACACATATATATATAGAAAGAAAGAAAGTCCAATCTGCAGCACCTTGTAAAATTATTAAGAGAGTTAAAAAGTCATAAATATCACTATAAAGCTTCAGACCTGTTAAGAGCCTTCACAGGGGCGGACTGACCATTTGGAAACTCCGGCACTGCCCGAGGGCCTGGGGTCAGCAGGGGGCCCCATGAGATGCCCCTGGTACCTTTTTCATAGGCTTTTTTGAGTTTGGGCAAGGACACAGGGGCCCCATGATCCCCTATAGCCCGGGGGCCTCATGATCCCCTATTGCCGGGGGCCGCATGAGTTGTCAGTCTGCCCCTGATCCTTCATCAGGCATTCAAAATTTGAAAATCCAATTACATTCATTATGTAGCAGTTTCTTTCATTGACTGGAAATTAGCAACACCTGAATCATTTCAACTCAAAACGTAATATGGTTTAATCCCCAGTTCACACCTATGGGGCCGCGTTTTGCTCAGCCATGGGAGCCTATTCATTTGAATGGACTTCCGTGCCCGTGACACACAAAGAAGAAGTGCCTGCACTACTTCTGAAACCGCAGCCCGCACAGGAACGTCGGTTCCAAGCTGAGGCGGACTGACCATTTGGAAACTCGGGCACTGCCCGAGGGCCCGGGGTCAGTAGTGGGCCCCATGAGATGCCCCTGGTACCTTTTTCATAGGCTTTTTTGAGTTTGGGCAAGGACACAGGGGCCCCATGATCCCCCTATTGTCCGGGGGGGCCCCATGAGTTGTCAGCCCGCCCCTGGTTCCCAGTACGGTTGCGTTTTCCACTGCGGGTGGCGTGCCATTAGAACTAATGACACCCTCCCGCGGGTCCGTATTTCTCTCTGCGGGTGGTGCGGCTGCACGATTTTCTTTTTCTTGCGGCACCACCCACACAGATGTGAACCAGGGGTATAAACATCACAGCTAATAGGAGATAATTAAAAACATTGTTTCTGGTTACTTCATATAAATACAGTATCTGTAAAAGAAAAAAAAAACAATATTTTGCAAACTTATTTTTAAAAACATCAACTCTCATTATAATGTGTAGCGCTGCCCCTAAGCTCTCAGTCAAACTAAAACACACCTGTGCAGGGGCGGACTGACCATTCGAGCACTCGGGCACTGCCGAGGGCCCAGGGTCAGTAGGGGGCCCCATAAAATGCCCCTGGTACCTTTTATAGACTTTTTTGGGTGTGTTTTGAGTGTGGGTGAGGACACAGGGGCCCCATGATTCCCAATTGCCCGGGGGCCCCATGAGTTGTCAGTCCGCCACTGCACCTGTGTAATAAATCCTCAGCAAATCAACAACACAAGCATGTGAACAAAACATAATGTTCAAAAACCAAACAAATAAAAATGATCCAGATCATCAGAGATAATAATATTATCAATAAGACACCTGTTTGTGCTGGTAGCAGCCTCTTGATTTATGGAATTTATTTGGTCTAAGGCTGCCATACATTATACAATTTTCTGTCCAATTTCTGCCCAATTTCCTTTAGATTTACCTTCAACTATGTAGCGCAAGGGCCTGTCTAATTGGATACAATTGAAAGTGTTGTTTAGCTTTGACCTCCTATTATATGGTTTTTGGTAAATCTAAAGCAATTTTCTGAGGCTGGCCATACATTATACAATTTTCTTGAGATTTTTGGTTTAGATTTACCAAAAACCATATAATAGGAGGTCAAACCTAAACAACACTTTCAATTGTATCCAATTAGACAGGCCCTTGCGCTACATAGTTGAAGGTAAATCTAAAGGAAATTGGGCAGAAATTGAACAGAAAAATGTATAGTGTATGGCCAGCCTCAGAAAATTGCTTTAGATTTACCAAAACCATATAATAGGAGGTCAAACCTAAACAACACTTTCAATTGTATCCAATTAAGCGGGCCCTTGCACTACATAGTTGATGGTAAATCTAAAGAAAATTGGGGCAGAAATTGAACAGAAAATTGTAAGAAAATTGTATAATGTATGGCCAGCCTAATGCCCCATACACACGATAAGAAAATTGTATGAAAAATTTCCCGGGAACCACCGATCGAATGATTTTCTCTTTGTTGATGAGCAGGATGTTTTAACCAATAATGATATTGTGAATGAAAAAATCCGGTTGAACAACAGTGAAAAATGTTCTAGTTTCGCATACGAACGACCGATTTTCTATGCGGTGGTATGACGGTCGTACGAAAAAAATCTATCAAGCGCTATCACGCATGAGTGGAAACAGAAGATGACCCGGATGTTTATGTCCAAGGAATCTTCGTAAACACGAACGAAAAATCCAAATGTTAAAAGTCGATTGGCCGAATGAGATCACAAAACCAGAATTCTGCAGATTATATTTTATGTATCACTATTTATGTATATAGGGAATGTAATAGATGATAATATACTCATTGCTGGTCATTGTTGTGTATATCGCTCGTTCTGGCCGGCAGGGCGTGGCTACAAGGTCACACGCACACTGCATCACTTCCATTTGTACGGAAGACTTCAACACTACGTATTGCCAGACGAAGGATTTTTTTAGATTGGTTAATGTGGGCCACGATTTCAACCAACCAACGAACGCCTCTCAGTTGTCGGATGACCGATCGGTCGATTTTCTAATGTATTCCCACCTTTAGGCTGGCCATACATTATACAATTTTCTTGAGATTTTTGGTTTAGATTTACCAAAAGCCATATAATAGGAGGTCAAACATAACAACACTTTCAATTGTATCCAATCAGGCAGGCTCTTGCACTACATAGTTGAAGGTAAATCTAAATGAAATTGGACAGAAAATTGTATAGTGTATGGCCAGCCTAATGCAGGCCATAGACGGGTCAAAAATCGGCCGATTTTTCCGCCGAAAAAAAAATCGGCTGATTTTCGCACTGTTAATGGGTTAATTGGTCAGCCATTTTTTGGAGTTTTGGCACATTTTTTTTATCAATAAAATTGGAAAACAATCGGCCGATTTTGCCGATTGGCTGATTTTCCCGGCAATGATGGGCAAATCAGCTGATCGTTTTACTGATAAAAAATCTGCGCATGATGAGCCGTGACCTAAAAGAAGAAGAAAAAGAAGAAGAGGAAGAATTCCAGTCCACTACTATATTTTATATGAAAAGTATTGCAGTTGCAACAATGTATCTATTTGTATCCAAATAAAAACATCTGTATCTGAAATGGATACAAATGGATACATTGTTGCAACTGCAAGACTTTTTCATGTCAAATATAATAGCGGAGATCTCTGCAGGGACAGAAGTAATTAAATGCCGGCCGTAGACGGGACGAAAATCGCCCGATTTTTTTTTTTACCGTTGGTGGTAACGTCGGCCTATTGAAAGACCAATTTTTCGTTTTTTTTTTTAAAAAACGGCTGGTTTACGACCCGTCTATGGCCTGCATAACGGTGATTGCTAGTTTTTGAACCTTAATAAGATTGTAGGCAGCACACTAGTTTTATTTGATATTTATAAAAACAGATGTGAATCATAATCCTTATTTAACCCCTTAGAATAAATTGTATTTAGTTGTGAAATCCACCCACTTCTTTCTGTTTTAATTCCCTACTTCCCCCTCTCTTCACATAGAGAACCTGACCTGTTTGTATATACACTATATTGCCCGCAGTATTGGTCGGCCGGCCTGCCTGCCTTTCCACGCACATGAACTTTAATGGCATCCCAGTCTTATGCAGGCCATAGATGGGTCGAAAATCGGCCAATTTTTCGGCCGAAAATAAAATCGGCCGATTTTCGGATCGTTAGTGGACTATTTGTGCGGCCGTTTTTCGGTATTTTGGCAGATTTTTTTTTATCGGTAAAGTTAGGAAAAAAAAATCGGTCGATTTTCGCGGCAATGATGGGCAAATCGGCCGATGGAGGAGGAGGAGGAGGAATTCCAGTAGGGCAAAAAGTGTCCCTGCAGAGAGCTCCGCTATTTCTTTGACAGTTCCTTGACATTTACAGCAGTTGCAACAATGTATCTATTTGTTTCCAAATAAAATCATCTGTATCCTAAATGGATACAAATAGATACAATGTTGCAACTGCTGTAAATGTCAAGGAACTGTCAAAGAAATAGCGGAGCTCTCTGCAGGGACACTTTTTGCCGGCTGTAGACTGGATGAAAATCAGCCATTTTTTTTTACCATTGCTGGTAACGTCGGTCGCTTGAACGACCGATTTTTCATTTTTTAAAAGAAAAATCGGCCGTTTTTCTCCCCGTCTATGGCCTGCATTAGTCCGTAGGGTTCAATATTGAGTTGGGCCCCGCCCTTTGTAGCTATAACAGCTTCAACTCTTCTGGGAAGGCCGTCCACAAGGTTTAGGAGGGTGTCTATGGGAAGGTTGGAC